CTCAGTTATGGTTTGTGCAAGTAGAATCTCAGTTTATTACACACAAAATCACGAGTGATAACACAAAATATCACCATGTTTTAGCCAGCATAGAAAGTGAGGTGCTTGAACGCATTTCCGATTTCGTCTTAACCCCGCCAGGGTCAAATAAGTACGAACAATTAAAAGACAAGCTGTGCAGAGAATTCACGGACTCGCAGGAGCGCCAGATTAAAACGCTGTTGAATGAATTCCAATTAGGCGATAAGAAATCCTCGCAACTTCTGAGGGAGATGAAAGAGTTAGCAAAGGGAAAAGTAGAAGACGATTTTCTTAAAACTATGTTTTTGAAGCACCTGCCAACACAGGCCAGGTCTATCCTTTCCGTAAGCACTGATAGCTTGGAAAAATTGCCGAAATGGCCGACAAGATAATGGATCACATTCCTTGTACAGTAGTAGCTGAAGCAGCATCTTCAACTTCAGTACAAGATGCCATCGCAAAATTACAAATCCAGGTTAGCGGGCTTTCAAAACAGTTGCAGCATAAATCGAGATCCAGGTCCGGCTCAAGAAGTAGAAGCTCCAAGAAACGTGACAAGTGCTGGTACCATTTTAAATTTGGGGAGAAGGCAACCAACTGCATCCAGCGTTGCAACTTTGCCCATCCGGAAAACTAATACTCGCATCGGAATCGGCGGCTACCGATGCGATAAAAACTGCCGTCTTTTTGTAATGGAAAAAGTGTCAGGAATTCGTTTACTGATCGATACCGGCGCAGATGTTTCAATCTTCCCTCCCAGTCGACACGACAGGATGACACCTTCTAGCTAATGCAGCTAATGGCTCTCTTATCAACACTTATGGTGAACACCTCATGGAATTAGATCTCAATTTTCGAAGAACTTTCCGATGGCCATTTATCATTGCGACACAGACAGGCCAGCGGACTTCCTCAAGCAATTCGAATTACTGGTCGATCTGAGACGACAACAGCTGATCGACGTCAACACTGGTATCACACGCCGAACTAAACCTGATATTTCCCTCATCCCTTCTCCAAGAATATCCACCCTTATGTGTTCAGATGACAAATTAAAATCTATATTTTTACAGTTTCCGAATATTGCAAAGCCAGCATCTACGATTGTGAAGAGTATCAAGCATGATGTAACCCATTTAATTTCAACGCAGGGTCCTCCAGTCACAGTCAAGGCTAGGAGATTGCCACCAAATAAACTTTTCGCAGCCCGTAGAGAATTCCAGCATATGGTTCTTCCAGTAAATGTTGCAAAATGTTGCTGTCCAAGAACATCTCGACAAGTTCAACTGGAGATTTATTGGCATATTCGGAGTAATTTGGTAGGGGGAATGTCGCCGTTTTCATCAAATCGCCATCTATCCATGTTCTTTTAACAACAGGCTTCTTTTTCTTCACGGACTTATTTTTTTTTCGCTTCATTTTCCTTTTTCTTTTTCTTTGTAGGTTTCTTTTTATTCTTGTTCTGTCTTGAGTTTGCAATTTTTCTATCAACCACTTCATTTTCCTCAGGCTCCGGATCCGCCTGGCCGTTTTCCTCCACTACCCCCTCAGTTTCCTCATCTTCATGGAATTCTTCCAAGTCTTCTTCCTGGGCTTCCTCAAAACCGCTTATACGGGCGTTATTAGAAAAGCAAACCTCGGCTTCAGCTGATAACTGCCTTCCAGACAAATTATCCACATCGCCACCATCGTCTTCATCTGTCCGCACATTTGACTCCGGGGGTGCCATAAAGATATCCGTAACCTCGTTTCCGTCATCGTCATTATTGAACACCATTTCCAAAGCTTCTTGTAGGGAAAATCCGCTGCTGCAGAAAAATAGACAATTGTATAGATATTAGGCTAGTGTCACCATATGGTTACACCTGATTTTGTAATCAAATACCTTCTATGCAAAAAAAAATCACGGCAATATAATATCAGACAGTGAAGATCACATATGTTGCCGTGATTTAGCAGGAATAAGAATTATAGTTAGTGAGATTATGTACGGAAATATTTGTACTTACACAAATCTGGGTTCCATATTTTATAACAAATAAAAGAGTGTCAAACAATTTCCTCTCCAGAACACACACGAATAGTAAACACACAGCTGTTTCACTGTTTGTTAACTTATTACGATATAATGAACAAAATCCGCACTGTGTTTAAGGAGTTTCGATTAAAATGTCGTCACATTGGCTGATCGACGCGACCGCTGCTCTGGTGTGACCATACGGTAACTACAGCAATTGGCAAAATTTGGATTTTTAGCAACAGCCTCAGCGTGCATCAATCGCTTTCGGTAACTTTCCCGTTGGATGTGAAATTTTGCGGCTGTAGTATTTAATTGTGTAACCATTTTATAAACTATTTGACAATTAGGTGTTAGTTGAATTTGTCTGGTCACATTCACAGCTTACAAAATCCTTTTTTTTCTTTTTTATAGGGTAAGGTTGCCTGTATTGTACCACTTTTCAAAAAAAATGCTTCTAAAGACTAAAAAAATGGTTAGCAGCTTATGAAAATTTTCTATTATTTTGTTTAATATATTTTCCACAAACAGTATTTTTTTCGTAATTTTTACCGCTTTAAAAATTGAAAAAAATTTGATTTTTATAAACCTTTGCAAGTGGTACAATTTAGGACACGGGTTTCCTAAATTGGACCATGCAGTTTCCTAATTTGTACCATACAAAAAGTATTACAACAAAGGCAAAGCAGAGAAAAATGTATTTTATTGTGTAAGAAAATTTTATTACTATATTAAAAAAATGCTTGAAAAAGAACTTAACGGAACTAAGATTTACAAATGTCACAAGTATGATCGGGAGAAACAAAAGCAACACAGGACTCGTGAGACCACTTCTGGCATTTAATGCACTGGATCATATTCTCCACTCTGCATTCATCGCACATTTGACAGTACCACTCCTCTGCGTTTATCTCAATTACGGCATCGACCATTTTGGTTCGTTTAGATGATTGTTTTGCAGACATGCCTGATGTGTTCGGCTTGGGTGAGGTTGAACCAATTCTTCTCCGTACAGAACAACGCTTATCTTGACCAGAAACAGATGCACGAGCTTCCAGTTCATCTTTATATGGGGTAGATGTTAAGGTCTGTGATTTTTGCGGTCCTTTGGACTTGCGATTATTTCGTACTTCTTTTACATTAGGCATAGGAATTATGTTTTCAAAAGAAATGTGCACACGAGGCGATTGCATCTGCTTCACAACTTCAGAAAGGGGAATGTCGCCGTCATTGTCACTTGTGTCGGAATCTTGATGAGAAGTGTTATTGACCTCAACTCCATTTGAAGTCGAGACTTCCTGTAAGGCAAGTGAAGGTGCAAAATCAACATCGCGAAAGACGTTTCTGTCGACGGGCCATATCCCACATTTTCGAAAGCCGTTTATGGCATTAGCAATGGTTGCTGCCCTTGGATAGGCCTCACCAAGAATCTGCGCAACTTGAAACTGCGTCACTCCTAACCCTGCATGTTCCCTCATCCATTTTTCAACAGCTTGGTTGTAATATCCCTCCAATGGCTTGAACACCGCTACATCGAGGGGTTGCAGTCGATGCGTGGTGTGCCCTGGTAACTGTAACATAATAACTCCATGTTGTCTTGCTAACTGCACGGCCTTAAGATTCTTGGAGTGAGTTGTGTGCCCATCAAGCACTAACACAACTTTACTGTCAATAGACGGCTTAACAACGTCAATAAATCCCTGCAGCCACACCACAAACAGATCTGAGTTAATGTAGCCGGTGTCAGAAATGACGACCATACATACAACCAGGTGGTGCTCCCATTCCAAGCTCAGGCATCATTCTTTTTCTCTTAAAAATGATCATAGGCGCAACATATTGCCCAGATGCGCTAGTACAGACAACCATAGTTGTATTTACCCCCCTTTCACCGCTGGCTATTGCTCCTACTTAATGTTTTCCTTTTCTGGCAAGAATTTTTTGACACTTCTTTTGCACAGTAGAAAACCCACTTTCATCAACATTAAATATTTTAGTTGCATCCAAACGGTTTTCGTCTACTAGTTTCTCCAAAAGATTAATGCCATTCGGGATACTCTATTAAAGCTGTGATTTATGTTATTTTGCTCAGCAAAGTCAAAAGCAGCTTTACGGATATCACGAATTGTCACGCCATAAAAGCTCTCCTCCAATTTTAATATTTGATCCTCAAGCTGGTTTTCGATCTCAGCACTAAAAACTGTAGACCGACCTAACGCTTTTACGCCTTCTTTGGATTTAACATTGGACGAAGCTAAATGTCTTTTTAAGGTAGGCTTGGGGACATTGTACATGGCACAGATCTGATTAAGACCAAATCCCCCTGTTTTGTATTTTATTAACGCCTCTTTCATATCCATTTCTGACCATTGGCCATATTTCATACCCTTTCGGCTCATTCTGAAAAAGAAAGTTTCGTAAATTGTACCGGTCCAATTTAGGCAACTCCCAAATGGTACAAATTAGGAAACCTGCACAATTCTCTATGTGTTTACGAACTAATCGTCAAAGAATGAGGTTAACCCACATACTGATAGTACAAAATGGTGTTAAATGATTAGTTATTCAGTAGAAATACACTGGGAAAAATTATTTAAAATTACATCGTAATTTTGAGCAAAATTAGGAAAAATTACTGCCGGTCTAACGGAAATATTCTCATGATAAGTAAAACCACGGACAAATTAAGTAAATTTACACGGACTATATAACTTTCCACCACATGTAGGCTATCCTAAACTCGTTTACGCGTAAGCGGTATTACAAAAAGGAATTTTGTTACGTAGCGCCTGAGCGAATTAATTTAGGAGTTTATCACGGTAAATACAAAAATCACGAAAGATTTTTTTACTACATTCCTATTCTAAAGACCTTGGCTGTACTCTTGAAAAACAAATCTATTTTAAAATATTGTTTAACTCCAAAAGTAGTAAAGAAAGAAAATATTTTGAAGGACTTTACAGACGGCTTGGTTTTCAAAAACAATAAATTTTTTAAAGATCATCCGACGGCTCTAAGAATTATTATGTTTCAAGACACATTTGAGCCTTGCAATCCGTTAGGTTCTTCCAAAAAGAAGCATAAAACGTTGGGTGTTTACATGATTCTAGGCAATTTGCCTACATATTGGTCCAGAGTTGATAATATATTGCTGGTTGCATTGGTAAAAGAGGCCGATATAGAACATTATGGAATGTCTGCAATTTTTGACGTAATTGTTAGGGATTTACAAGTATTGGAGTCATTTGGTTTAGAACATGAAGGTCAGATTTTCAAGGGTGCTTTATTTGCAATGTTAGGCGATAATTTGGGTAGCCACCAAATCGGTGGTTTCTCAGAAAATTTCAGTACGTCGTCATATACGTGCAGGTATTGCTACATTGAAAAAAAGAATATTAACACAGTTTTAGAAGGTTTCAAATTACGTACAAAACAAGCGTACGAATCAGACTTAGATATGAAAATGATGATAAACGATAACCAATATAAGGGGATAAAAAGTAATTCTGTGTTAAATTCTTTAAGTAACTTTCATGTTTGCAATCCCGGTTTACCTCCATGCTTAGCCCACGATATTTTTGAAGGTGTCGTCCAATATGACTTAATGATAGGTTTAAATGATTTAATAAAGAAAAAGCATTTTACATTACAAACCTTGAACCACAGATTTCAAAAATTAAAATTATGCAATAGCACTACCGTGAACCTTCCTCTTTTTAAAGATAAAAATGATAAACTACCAGGGACTGCTCATGAGAATATGCTCTTTTTACAGTTATTACCTTTTGCAGTATCTGATTTAATAAACGATTTCGAGGATCCGACTTGGCAGATGATCTTATTATTAAGAAAACTTACAAACATACTTTGTAACAATACGGTGAATTGCTTTGATAATTTATAAAGATATTCCCAATTTCTTTATATCAATTTTATTGTAATTGGTTTCTAATCTGATCACAACCTGATAAATACAAATATAAACTCTTATCTTTAAACAATTTGGTCATTACCTGATACCAGCACAATCTAAACTAAATTAAATTACAACTGCCTAATGGCTATCAAATTTGTTTTCAGACTCTATTCAACAACCACGTTTCTCATGACAATATACATGCAATTGTTTTCGTGCAACTATAAATTATTTTTTAAATTAAATATTTGTTTCCATACAACTTCTAGCTGTTGAACTCTCTTCTGGGCAAGTAGCCTACTTAAAATCTCGAAAGAATACCTTACAGAACGTATTAAAATCTTTCCTAATGCATTATTCTCACCTAATGCTTCAGTTTGGCCCCTTAAAGCATTTGTGGATGTTACGTTTTGAGTCCAAACATAGATATTTTAAAAGCATAGTTAAACATTCTCCCAATTTTAAGGACGTCCTTTATTCTTTTGCTGAAAAACACCAGATGTTACAAGCTCTTCAAGCAAGTCAGCCTTCTATTTTTACGGATAAAGTTATTTCTGAAAATGTAATCGTATACGATAGTAGGTATTACTCAGGGGAATTTCGTTCTATTATACAGAAAAATATGGCTCCTAATAATAATGTGCTATTTCTGTGTAAATGTGCAACGTACAGGGGAGTTAAATTTACAGAAAATTCATATTTTTGTTACCATAGAGATGAATACGGAGATTTTCTGATCCTTAAATTGCATTATATTATTATAAATCAGGACTATTCAAACATGTTTTTAATTGGGCAATCAACTAAACTATCATATGATGGGTGTACAGGCCTATATTACAAATGTTCGAACGGTGACACCAAGGAAAAAATGGTTGGCTGTTTCCATGAACAATTACTGCAACATGAACCACTGTACCATTGTTTTGTAGATACTGCGGATGCGTTTTATTTCAAGTCTGCACCATTAATATATCAATAAATGTATAGAAACTGAATAGGTAACCATAACGTTTATCCGAATGTGCTATATAAAGGGCGATTTATACCGGCAGTCAAAACATAAAAATTGTGTTGTATATGGGATCCTAAACAAAAAATACGAAATATTTTTCCGTTCGGCATATCGAGAAATTAAGTTTTTGTTTATAAAATAAATAAAATTTGTAATACCATGGGAATTGCACTGAAACAAACGCTACTTATTAATGTGATGAAGAGCAAAATTGAAACCAAAAATTTATTCTTCGTTTAGAATCCCATCTGTAACACGAATTTTCATTTCTCCCCTCCTGGTATAAATCACCCTGTATACATGGTGAGAGACTAAGGTTACAACTGTCTATAGCAAATGTCAAAATATTGAATAATATCTCAAATAAAATTTGTTCGGAATTACTTAAGTGTTTAATAACATAAAAATATTTTCAAAGATGGTGGACATCCGGTTACATGGGAAGTGGACATAACTTTGTTATTCTCAAGGACGTTAAAAATACCTGGACGCGGCATTACCCATCTACTAAATTGAAGTCAACATGTACTTATAGGCGCGGGTGGGATGTTGACTTCACAACAAATCGCGCAATGCCGTGTCCAGGTATTTTGAACGTCCTTGGTTATTTTGTATTATAAATTTTAGTATTTCCCATAAAAAAGCAGTTTATTAAAGATGCATTTGGTCTCAGACGAACCGTTCTGGGGTCTACTTGGAATAGTCAATTGTATCAATAAATGTTATTAAATTTGAAAAGTAAATGTTCTTCTAATACTTGACAGGTTATGTCTTTCAAGAACGAATCGTGGAAACGGTAACCGTCTAAAACCAGAATAATGTAACATTAATAAAAATCGAGATAAAAACTAACCTTTTTTATAGGGAGTTCAAAACTGTAATCATAGAGCGTTTCATTTAAAACGAAGTCTCCACTTCCGATTTCCGATATAACCAGAAGTCCTACATCTTTGAAAATGTTTCTTATTAAGCACTCAATATTGAACAAATTGTATTTGAAATATTCTTCTCTACTGTTCACCGTACGTTGCGGTAGACCGATTTTGTCCTACTCACTCACCGCAGGACCACCGAAAAAGTTCTAAAAATCATATCTTGCAAAGTAGTAAAGAAACAATTTTAATAGCAATTTACTCGATAACTCGACGAGTTTTTTAAGACAACTGTTTAACGGTATTCTGGAATATTTATCACACGGATCTACCTTGTGTTAACAGCAACGATTTCCAGAGACCGAAAATGTGGACGTTAAATTTTGAACTCAGCTATAACCACAAAACGCAAAGTGGTTTCACTTTCTTCATTACTTTGGAAACTATGATTTTTTGAAATGTATGCAACCTTTTTCGGCGACTCTGACATCTGTATATACGTACATACATACAAGAATATTTCAGATTTCAATTATGAACGAAGAAAAAGTTTTTTTTTAAATTTGGAATAACTTCCGAACAAAGAAGTCCATTGTGGTACTAAATGCTGCCGATGAAAATCTGTACGAAAATTTAGTGCTAAGAGGTAAGAAAGAATCTTGTCGCATCTGTTCCATAAATGCATAATTTTTATCTTGCTGCAAAAAAACGAAATTTGGCAACCCATTTCTACCGATTCTACAGATGGCAGCCTACTTGCAAGCACTGTTTCACTGACGTCTAATGCTGAACAGGTACCACTTGTAGAGGAGCCATATTTATTTCTGGAAATACCGACTAATGATGTCGATCCAAAGGGATCGCAAAATTTAAATGACAGCAATCCGGCCGTTCAAGAACTCTCCATACAAAATTTAAACGCACCCGAAAGGCTAATAACGGAAAACTTTTGGAGGACCTTTCAGGTGCCATAGATGATGATGGTGTAGTACTTGGTGATGGTTCAAGTACCCTACTTTTAAAATTAAAAGACCGTAACGACTACAAAAATAGCCTTAAGAGACGAAGTAAACTTTCACCTACTTCAATTGCTAAGAAGACGACAGTTTAGACGAACAGATTGTAAGTCTCAATGAGGGATTTTCAACAATGGACGATAAACGACTCTTTGAATTATTACACAACACATACGAACGACAACGCTTTTATATAAACAATGAGACTCCGTCTATTACACAGCTACAAAAATCGTGGCCTTGTCTGTTGCACGGAAAAGTTTTGTACTGGAATTACAGAAGGTTGATGTGTCAAGATTTAAACCAGTTGGAAGCTGGCATCAACATTAAAATCGAAAGAATGTTGGAATTTGCACGCACTAAAAAATTAGTTAAGAAAATTCCTACTGATATAAATGATCAACATATAGAATTACTGCGAGTGCTAGCAAAGCAATTTAAAGAACGTTTTGAAATGATATTTAAAATTCTTCCGGTAGGTGCTATAAATATTCTTTAAAAAGAAATACAATAAAATATATTTTTTAGGATCGCGGTCATGCAGAAGAAGTGGAATCTTTGAGCCCATGTATTATATTTGCTCAAGGTAGATGATATCCGAAAGTATAATTGATGTTTTTTTTAAAAGTTTGTTTTACAGATGAAAATAAATATATCGTGGTTATTGAAAAAATTCCAATAAATGAAGGATCCGGTTCTTTTATTGGTGCACTCAAAGAATTTTATGCTTGCTTTTTCGTTTTTAATATGAAGTACCCTTCTAAGGCTAACTCAACTTTGGAGGTATTGCAAAGGTACTTCATGAAAACACATCCAGATTCCGGAACGAAGTCTACCACTTACACGAAATCGAAATCTGCTGTGATAAGATTCGTGCAATCTTTTTCTGACTATGTTACGGTAAGATATTGTCATCAAAATTTCATTACCAATTATAATTTAGAGCAGCACTAGCAACAAGTAACGTTACGTCGCGGAGATATAGGACCCTTTGATTTTAAATAACATTTTCATGTTTATTTTGTTTTTAGTATTTTAGTTGTCAAAGCATTCACCATACATGTATTTAATAATGTCTTATATTCATAAAGTTATATGCAGGAAATTACATAGTTTTTTCAAGTTTTCCATATTATATTTTCTATTTCATTTGTAGAAAAAATGTTGTATATAACACTAGCACAACGCTAAGTTATTTTGCGCATTCGTCTGATATTTTGACTCGGCTTCGCCTCGTCAAAATACCTTCAGTCTCAATGCGCGAAAGTGAACTTTGCGCTCTTGTTATAAAATTAACTATTTTGAGAGGACACTATATAAATATAGTCGCAAACATTCAAAAAAAGAAAAAAGACTTTGGATAACATGCAAATAACTTGTATACAAAAAAAGTGTGTGAAAGGCTATTTTTTATTTATCTTGTGCGGCGATTTCACACTTGGGTATAGGTAAAGCTAAAGCCTCTGATGAAACGTCGCACTCGATAAATCTACACTTTCATACACTTTGCAAAAATAGTTATTTACGAAAGCGTAGAAGGCCACACAACAAATTTTATTTCGCATCTCGTCCTCTAGATCATATAGTGTAGTGTAGTTGTTTCAGTGTTCGCGCCACGAAATTTAAAGCCAATGTAAAAACTTACGCTCCCTCTACTTTCCCCTCTTGTCGCGCTTGCAACGGGCTTCATTAGTTGTTTTCGTGCGAGAGTGTACGCCACGCGTTGTTTTGTTTTTACCACTCAACGTTTTTTACCTTATTAGATGGGTCATAAACGGAAAGCTAAAAAGCTAATTCGTAAGCGAAATAAAAGAAGGAGGAAAGATGATCGATTACAGGATATCGCGTATAATATTTTATGCGAATTGCGGTCGAAGCAAGGTCGTGACAGCGATACGGAGGTAGATACCAGTGCTGATTCAGAGCAATCAGCATCAACACCGCGTGCCGGTCCTTCGGAAACAAGTTTTGATAATCGAGATTTATCATCTCTCCTTTACGAAAGTGGTAAGCCTTGTTTTATGTTCCCTGCCTTATCAAAGTACGCAAACGAGTTTTTGTTGTACTTCTTCCAAGCTGGAAAGTAGTTTTCCTTAGAAATTTTGGCCTTCCCAGTAACGTAACAGGTATTCAAACGAGTCTTTGACATACCTGCCGCTACACTTTTAACGAGTTTTAAAAGAAGGTAGCTTGACATAATCTTTCAACAAGTTGAAAGAAATCCTTTTGAAGGCCGTAAGGCTGTAGCTTCTTTAACAAATTTGGTTTTACCACTAATTTAGCAGGTGTTCAAACGAGTCTTTGACATACCTGCCTCTACACTTTTAACGAGATTTAAAAGGTAGATTTGATAGACGTTTTTTTGTCTTTTAAAGGTACAGTGGTACCTTCCTTTTTTCAAGGAGTTGGAAGAGGTTGAAAGAAGGCCTTTGGGCTTTAGTTTATTATTTTTTAGCTACAAATTTGGTAATTGTCTGCTTCTCCTTGTAATTTGGGTTTTGTTTTCTGGATTTAGAAGCAAGCGCAGACGGGGAAAAAGAAAACGTGCCTCCCTCTTCGATTCCGTCAGAATTCCTAACTTTGTTGGGCCAATCCACAGAACCGGCAGTTACCTTACACAATGAACTGCATGTCGAGTTAGTCTCTCGCTGGGAGAGTATCTTGAAATCGGGGTTGGATCCACAAGTGGCCAACGATTTAATATCCAAGTATCCCCCAGCAGAAAACTGCAAGGTCATTGGGGTACCTAAATTAAACCCCGAAATCGAAACCGCCATGACAGAACAACACAAGCAAAGGGACAAACGATTAGCCGAAACTCAGGGACGACTTGCAGCAGCTCTCGCAGCAATCGGCAGGAGTTTGACGATTTTGTTAACTCAGGAGGGGAGCGATCTAGGGCTGACCCTTATTGAGTACCTGAGCGATGCGAGTCGCCTTCTCTCCGATGCTCATCACCAAGAATCCGAGGCTAGAAGATTTTTAGTGGCATCAGGCCTAAATAAGCAATGCCGGGAGACTATTGCTGCAGCTCCTATAGGTGAATGGCTTTTCGGAAATGATCTTACAGAGCGTATGAAGGCTGCGAAGACCCTTGAACGTTCATCAACTGAATTCAAACCTACGAAGCCAAAACCTATAATTAAAAACTTCCCTAAAAGGCAGGGAAATGCGAGGGGTCTGCCTCGGACGCTGAACACATCCAGTCGGGGCAGACCGAAAAACTACATACCACAACTGAGAGACCGCTACCAACAGTTACCCAGAAAATATTATCAAAATCAGTCCCAACACCAGAATCGTCGTTAGTGAAGGTAAACAGGTCAGCCGGAAGATTAAGTTTTTTTGTAAATGCTTGGCGTGGAATAACCCGAGATCCGGTTATTCTTTCTTGGATTGAGGGCTATACTATACCTTTTAGTAAACAACCGATACAAACTTATCGGCCAAAGCAGATGCGATGGTCGAAAACTGAATTATCAGTAGTTAAAATTCATTTAACTAGTTTGTTATGTAATGGAGTAATTTCAAAATGTCGCCCTTCAAGGGGCCAATTTGTGTCGAACATTTTTTTAGTGCCCAAGCCTGATGGTTCACACAGACTAATCCTTAACTTAAAAGAGCTTAACCAGTACATAGAAACTCAACATTTTAAATTAGAAGACTATAGATCAGTTACTAAGTTAGTTACGGAGAATTGTTTTTTCGCATCTCTGGACTTAAAGGATGCATATCACTTAGTCCCAATTAGAGTTAAGGATAGGAAGTTTCTAAGATTTTACTTTGAGGAAGAGCTTTTTCAATTTAATTGTCTTCCTTTTGGGCTTTGCACTGCTCCTTTAGTGTTTACAAAAATATTGAAACCAGTTTTTGCCAAACATAGACTACAAAATTTTGGGTCTAATGTTTATCTAGATGATTTCTTACTTCTTGGAGACTCGTTTCGCGATTGTTTATCTAATGTTGCCACTACAAGATCTCTACTGGAAGAACTAGGGTTCATTATAAACGAGAAAAAGAGCCGATTTACACCCAGTCAGAGTATACAGTACCTAGGCCTTGTTTTTAATTCTCGCTCGATGACAGTTAGTCTTCCAGTTGAGAAGCAAAAACGTATTCTGCAAGATATCCACACTTTAGAGACTAAACTTAGTTGCAAAATTAGAACCTTCGCAAAATTCATTGGTAGGATTATTGCAGCAACGCCTGCGGTTCGTTATGCGATGCTGTACACTAAGAATTTTGAAAGGCAAAAATTCTTAGCTCTTAAAAAGTCAGGGGGGGAGTACAACAGTACTATGACAATTCCCTCCACACTGCGGCACGATTTTCTTTGGTGGAAGTCTCACATTCAGGAAAGCAGATGTATTAGACCCATAAATTACACAATGGAGATTTTTAGTGATGCATCTCTTTCGGGCTGGGGAGTAGCTTGTTCAGGTAAAAGGTCTCATGGATTCTGGACACGAATGGAAAGCAAAAATCATATCAATTTTGTGGAGTTGCAGGCAGCCTTTTTTGGTTTGAGGTGCTTTGCAGCTAATTTTAAACAAACCAATATTTTACTCAGAATAGACAATACCACTGCTATATCTTATATAAACAGAATGGGGGGTGTCCAGTATCCACATTTAAATACGTTGACTCGAGATATTTGGCAGTGGTGTGAGAAACGCGAATTATGGATTTTTGCTTCGTATATTCAATCTTCCGATTATGTTGAAGCAGATCGCGAATCAAGGCGTAAGGTTTCTGAATCTGAATACGAGTTATGTGATCTTGCCTTCCGAAAAATCTGTACCGATTTAAGACATCCAGACATAGATTTTTTCGCTTCTAGAACCAATAATAAGTGTGAACGATATTTTTCCTGGCTTAGGGACCCAGGAGCAGAAGCAGTGGATGCCTTCACTGTAAATTGGGTTGATAAAAATTTTTATGCTTTCCCTCCTTTCGCGTTAATTCTCAGAGTACTTCAGAAAATTAAGTCCGATAACGCGGAAGGGGTTTTGGTTGTTCCCTTTTGGCCTACACAACCTTGGTGGCCATTATTTAATGCATTATTAATTAAACCACCTATTTATTTCAAACCTAATCCTAACTTGTTGTTATCTGCTGATAGGACGCCACATCCGCTGCACGTAACCCTTACCCTGGTAGCAGGACTGTTATCAGGCTAGCCTTAGAAAACAAGGGAATTCCAGAGATGGCCGTGGAAGTATCCCTCGCCTCGCTGACCAAATCCTCAATAAGTCAATATAACCATGGCTTAAAATTATGGTGGGATTTCTGTGTAGGAAACAAATTCGATCCCTTTATTCTCAACTTTAACAACATTTTAAGTTTTTTAAGCGATTTGTTTAATAGAGGATTTAGTTACAGTAATCTTAATACCGTTCGGTCAGCCCTCTCGTTAATACTTTCACCAGAAGTAGGGTCTGACGCTAGAATTAAACGGTTTTTTAGAGGGGTCTTTAAGTTAAGACCATCCTCTCCCAAATACATACTTGGGATCCTACCATAGTTTTAAGCCATTTATCAACATACTACCCTAACCAGGACTTAAGTTTGGAACAACTAACACGTAAGCTTGTTACGTTACTAATACTAATAACCGCACATCGAGTGCAGACGTTGTCTCTGATCAGAGTTAAAAATATTATTTTGAACGAGGACAAAATTCAGATAAGGATTCCAGATAGAATAAAAACCTCAGGACCTAAAAGCTTCCAACCAATACTGGAAATTCCTTTCTTTCATGAAAAGCCGGCTTTATGTGTGGCAAGTACTTTACAACACTACTTGGGGAGAACAGAAACCTTAAGAACGCCGATGATTTCAAACTTGTTCATTACATTTAGAAAACCGCACAAGACCGCATCGACTCAGTCAATCAGTCGTTGGATTAAGAGTACTCTGGCTGAATGTGGTATCGACACCAAGATTTTTACTGCACATAGTACTAGACACGCTGCTACCTCCATGGCTGCAAGAAAGGGCGTCAGTCTAGACGTTATTAGAAATACAGCAGGTTGGTCTGCTTCATCACGGGTATTTGCTCAGTTTTATAATCGACCAGTGTTAGAAGAGCAGTCGGTGGCAAATGCCATTTTAGGATTATTGTAACCTTAGATTTAGTTGTATAACTTTAGATCGTTGTCATTGTAAGGAATAAAATCCTTTCTTGGTTTCTGCTCGTTTGGTTGCAACTGCTTTAAACATCTACACTATATGATCTAGAGGACGAGATGCGAAATAAAATTTTAAGATTAAACGAACTTACCTTAAGTGAAGTTCAATCTAAATTTTATGAAGCATCTCGTCCGAATAGATCATAGCCCTCCCTTCCCAGCCCTATTTTTTGGAGTTGCAACAAAGAAGCAGAATGGCTGTAAAAAATGAAGCCCGTTGCAAGCGCGACAAGAGGGGAAAGTAGAGGGAGCGTAAGTTTTTACATTGGCTTTAAATTTCGTGGCGCGAACACTGAAACAACTACACTACACTATATGATCTATTCGGACGAGATGCTTCATAAAATTTAGATTGAACTTCACTTAAGGTAAGTTCGTTTAATCTTAAAATTTTACTTTGTTGCAATCGGAATCTACAATCACACATAACAATTATATCTTAGTTTATGAAAATATGCATCAGATTAAACAAATTTATGTTTTGTATATACACAAATAAATATTTACTTAATAAAAAAAAGAATTATTCTTGTAAATGTATGTTAGATTCAAAGTACTGTTATTCTATATAAGAACATACAAAATTGACATAAGAGTTCAGAATGCTTCATTAAAGATTAAATAATTGTCATTTAAAGAATGCATATTATTGTAGCCAACATTGATACTGCAAATAAACATTGCTTTTAGTTTATATTTCTTTAAATGAAGAATTACTATACACCATTAGAGATGATTAGAATGTTGATACTACATTAAGTATTTTAGTTTCAAGTATGTATTTTTTTCCTTCTATAATTTGAATGATTTGTTTCAAATATATATTTGATTAACATAATCTTTTCACTATTTTACTTAAAGAAGAAAATGTTATTTTTACCATCCTTCTAACTTCATTTGTGAAATAAATAGTTTAAAATAAAGCAACAAAATATTTCAATTAAAAGAAATTTATT